CAAAACACTTACTACATAAGACCATCCCATGAAGACTGGAGGCATAGCCGTTTGACTTAATACCTAGAAACAAATACAAAGGGACAGAAAAAATGGGGAGACAAACAACCAACCAACAAATGAAACTGAAGATGGAATCACCAGAAAATGAACTAAATGAAATGGAGGCAAGCAATTTGTCAGATAAGAATTCAAAGTAATGGCTTTAAGGGTGCTCAAAGAGCTTAGTAAGAACTTAAGGAGAATGATATGGAACTTATTGAGAACAACTACACCAGCATAAAAAAAAAGGTAGAAACCATAAATAAAAATCTGTCGGAAATAATGACATAGCTAAAAGAAAGAATAGCCTGTAAGGAATCAACAGTAGGCTAGAAGAAGTGGAGGACTGAATCAGTGAATTAAAAGACAAGATAGAAAAAAACACCCATTCACAGCAACTGATAAAAAAAAAAAAAAAGCCGGAGAGTTTAAGGGAGCTTTGGACAATGAAATCTAACAACATTCACATCAAAGGAGTACCACAAGAAGAATCTGAGTGAGGAGAGGGAATCTGTTTAAAGAAGTAATGACAGAAGACTTCCCTGACCTGGTGAAGAAAAAGTCACACAGGGCCAAGGAACACAGAAAGTATCAATAAAGATGAATCCAAAAAGACCCACAACAAGGCACATCATAAATGGCAAATGTTAAAGACAAAGAATCTTAAAAGCTTCAAGATGAGAGACAGAAAATTACCTATAAGGAAATTACCATTAGACTGTCAGCTGATTTCTCAATAGAAACACTTTAGACTAGAAGGGAATCGTGGCAGGAAGTATACAAAATAATGAAAAGCAAGTGACTATATCCAAGACAAATTCATGCACCAGTGGGGTACCTTGGCCTGGCACGCGGGATCTGGCAGAAATCGGCTCTCCCAAGGTGTCCCGGATTGTGAGAGGGCGCAGGCCAGGCTGAGAGACCCCACCGGTGCACGAAAGGGGCCAGGGAGGGACATAGGAGAGCTCCAGGTGTGTCCAGCCCATCTCGCTCAGTCCCCAATTGGCCATACCCCAGCAGCATGGTCACCTACCAGTCAAAGTGTCTTCCCCCTGTGGTCAGTGCACGTCAGAGCAAGTGGTTGAGCAGCCTTAGCATATCATTAGCATATTATGCTTTGATTGAACCGACAACCGGATGACCAGACACTTAGAATATTAGGCTTTTATTATATAGGGTAGCTAAGATCTGGAAACAGCCCATTAGTAGCTGAGTGGATAAAGAAGTTGTGATACATTTACACAATGAAATACTATGCAGTTGTAAAAAAAGAACCTCTTACCCTTTGAGACAACATGGAGGGACCTGGAGAGTATTATGCTAAGTGAAATAAGCCAGTCAGAGAAAGACAAATATCACATGATCTCACTTACATGTAGAATCTAATGAACAACATAAAGTAACCAATAAAATAGATCCAGAAACATGGAAGCATGCAATAGACTGAATTAAATGCATATATACATAACCCATGGACACAGACAATAGTACAGTAAAGGCCAGGTGAGGGTGCTCAAGTAGAAAGGTAAGGGGTTAATGAGGGAAAGTGGGGAACACTAGTAATACTTTCAATAATGAAGATATACACACAGATACAGAAAAACCCAGGGAACAGAATTTTTAATTTATTTGCTTATATTCTTAGTTTTCAGCCTTAAATTTTATTTATTGAGAGAAGCATTGCAATATGGCAACAATGTTGTTTTAATTTGTAAGGAGTGATATAAAATTGACCAAATATTTGGTAGCTTAGAAAACAAAAATAATTGGATAAAATATCAAAAAGATATATGAAAAAACATTTTTGGGGGAGATGGTGTAAAGAAAAACAAACAAAAGCCTTTTAAATGAAGTAAGAGCCATATTTAGTGTGCATTCTGAACAAGAGGAGCTAGCAAAAGAGTCAAAGTACATACTAGGGAAAAAAGTATCCTAAAGACATGTATCACATAGATGGCCAAAAATGACACGTACTGGCTAGTGTCCATATTATGTACAGACCAGCTCTTCCTTCTTAGTCATTCCTCTCACTATCCATAGAAGTAGAATGAAAATTGTTATAGAAGACTACTAACTAACTTAATAGCTCAGGGCTCTTTATATTTCTAGAGGCCTGGTGCACAAATTTGTGCATGGGTGGGGTCCCTCGGCCTGGCTGGTGATCAGGGCTGATTTGAGGGGGGGGGCAGCTGGCTGGGGGTAGGGACCGCAGGAGGTTGGCTGGCCACCCCCCCACAATTGGGGCCAATGGGGGGGGGGGCTGGAGGCTGGGAGGAGGGATCGTGGAAGGTTAGCCAACTGGGGGGTAGGGACCGCAGGAGGTTGGCTGGCTGTGGGAGGTTATCTATGGGAGCGCACTGATCACTGGGGGGTAGCTCCTGCATTAAGCATCTTCCACTTGGTGGTCAGAGTGCATCATAGCAACTGGTCGACCAGTCGTTTGGTCGCTTAGGCTTTTATGTATATAGAATAGAAAGATACTAGAGGCCTGGTGCACAAAAACTTGTGCTCTTGGGTGTGGGGGGGTCCCTCAGCCTGGCCTGTGCCCTCTCGCAGTCTGGGACCCCTCAGGGGATGACCACCTGCTGGCTTAGGCCCGCTCCTTGGGGTATTGGGCCTAAGATGGCGGGGTCTAGTGTTTGGGCCCAGGATGATCTTGATGGAGTTTTGGATGTCCTTCAATATCAGAAGAGTGGGCCAAAATACTAATTTGTAACTGTCACTTTCACTTTTTTCTAACCCCCACGTCTATACATTGTCAGGTCGAACTGACCTGGATCAACATATGTTACAGAGAGGGCACTGTTGTTAACCACAGCAAGACTACCTGAAATGGGGGTGAAGACAGAGCCTCTGATGCTGTGAAGTGAATATGGGTTAAGCACGTAGAGATAGCAAGGACAGGCAGGTTTTCTCAGTAAATTTTGTGGTACCCCACTCTCCACTGTTCAGTCCTCCTATTTTATCCTCATTTTCGTGCTGGCTTCACTGCACAGGGAATGCCAAGTGGGTCCATTTAGAATAGGTAAACATTGTGACTTAAATTTTAAACTGTCATTCTAATCCCTTTTAAAAAATTGCCCCACAGTTTTAAAATCAAAATTAATATAAAGCTCCATGGTCACGACTGGCTGAAAGCAGGTATCTGGGGTTTATTTACCTTCTATAATTGAAACTTTGTTGCCTTCAGTGCGAGCTCAGAGCTGGCCGTGGCAGGTGGGGAACCTTGGCTTCCTCTATCACTGGAGCAAGCAAGCCTCCTGTTCGCTTCAGCTGCCTGGCTGCTGGCCGCCATCTTGGTTGGCAGTTAATTTGCATATCTTGCTGATTAGCCAATGGGAAGGGTAGCGAAGTTATGGTTAATTACCATGTTTCTCTATTATTAGATAGGATGACAAAGGCTACTGCTCCAGGGAAAAAGCAGTACATAGGAAAAAAAGTCAGACGTATAGTTTCTGCACAGTTAAAAGAGATGAGGGGCAGGAAACTAACTCATTAACCCTTAACTCAGTGCTCTGAGTTTTATCCTTTTCAATCTCTAGCAGCAGATATTAGTAGCCAAGAGAGCCAAGAAGGAGGAAGGGCAGAGGGAAATGGCTAAGGACAAAGAAATAAATTAATAAAATAGGGATTAAATTAATAGAAACTACAGAGAAACCACCTGGTAAGTTCTGAAAATATCTTGGGGCTTGAAGTTCAAATCTAATAAGATATTTCAATAATTTTCAAAAAGTTTTCTAGCTTTGGGTCAAATAAAGGCAATGAACATTACTGAGGAGAGGACATTATTAGAATATGTCTTATTAGAATAGTTTTATTTGTAACATTTCCAAATTAGTAAAGAAATCTGGTACAAGACAAGATAAAAAAATCGGGAAAAAGAATTAATGGCCATTATGAGATCCTGTGTATGCTTTTATTTCTTGGTTAGCCTTCCTACTTATTTGAACACACACATACACAGTAAGCCAACAAAAAGTGACCACAATGGACCCAAGACACTGTTTTAAAATGGGATGATTCTTACAAGTTTTCCTTAGGGAACAGGGATGAAAGTTTTACTTCACAGAAATAACTCACAACTAACTACAGAATGACAGATAAAATATTTTCACATCACCTATTCTCTCTGCTTTCCCATCTTTTCTTTTTGCTTCTCTGTTCATATCTCTTACCATAGTCCACATGATACTACAGAACCATATGCAGTCTGTCTCCTTAAAAAAAGATCATCACTTGCAATTAAGAATGTTAAGAGAAGCTAAACATATAGGGAAATAGAATGATATATGAAAAGTCTTTTCTTTACATTTTTAAATAGGTTATGAATAAGCAGTTTTAGACTCTCCAATCTGAGTGAGACGCTATCATTTATTCTGAAAAGTCTGATAGGACTTTATTAACATAGCTGTTACAACAACCTTTCAATTAGTTCACTGTATGTCACTCTGAAATTAACTCATAAAGAAAATCAGCTGAGCTTCCCTCCAACTATAAAATTCTAAGGATCTGGATAAAATCATAAAACAAGTCAGTTTTTCATTGATAGTATGTGAACAATCACACCTGTTTAGGTTATAAACATTAAACTACACACACAACCTCTTCAATGTTTACCCAGAATTTATCATGAAAAATTACTTTCATTAAAATTTCTGTGCTGATAAAAATCATAGTACTTCCTCTTAATAACACAAAGCTATTCTCTAAAAAAGTTATTTTCACTTTGGCTTAATTGGGCTGAAAAGGGGGAAAAGCGTAAAATAATACCCTGAAATACCACAATATATAAAGACAGATATGACTCACATCTGTGGTCAGAAATTTATAAGAAAAGAAAGTAATTTGATTTTAGTTTGCCTTCAGAAAAGAGACCAATGCTGTTTTACAAATCTGGTTCCTTTTTTGGGATAAAGTTAATTCATGATTTATTTTTCAATAGGTTTTTAAAAGGATACGTGTTCCATTAACTCCTGATATTTTAAAGTCATCTAGAAGTTGAACAACCATTTCTTTATTTGGATCATTAGGGTCTGAATTTCGCACCTATAATGGGGAAGACAGTATTTAGTAAAAAGGAAAGCACTGAAATAATTACTCCAAGAAACAGCAAATTTATGAGAAAAACATTAAAATTTTATTAGCTAAAATAGATAAAGAACTTAATTCACAAAAGGAAATGCATCAAAAAAAGACTATTATACTAAATCGACCATTTTTCTACTCAAACACAATTCCCAAATTAACTGCTGGTAACCAGGCTACGAGGAATTAAGCTTTGGCAGGATGCACATCAACCACAACACTAACCACATGGTTTAGTCAAGCTGATATTTTTGTTCAAAGATAAACTTTCTCAATGAAGGAAACAGTACAGTAATTTACTTTTGGGCACAAACTCCTTATTCTGTCACAGACTGATACTTTGAAAAATACTTCCTGGTCTAACATTGTCATCTTACCAATGAAACATTTAAAGTTCATAAGAAAGAAAATGAAGAGTTGGAGGATATACTGGGATAGAACTGATCCTAAAACCTAGGTTTTCTAACTCGGACTTTAAGCTCCTTCTACTACATTGGAATTTTCTAATAAAACTGAAAGTAAGTTTTTGCTAAATACACTTAAGTTTTCAAGTATAAAGGAATTAATACAATGTTTATTTTTAAAACATCTAAAAACACAAAATAGGTATTTATTTATTAGCACAACTTTCCTTTTAACTATAGTAGGAAAGAAAAACATTCTTTGTGCTATCTGGCACATAAAACATGTTCAATAAACATTTTTATTTGTAAGTTTTTTTCAATGTGTATGAGAGCATGCATATTCCATCAGTTCCCTACCACATGCACAGAATGTTGTTGTCTCCTCTACTTCTTTAAAGATATTGAAACTTTATAGTAAATATTAGCCATGCTAAAGAATTTACACTTTGTATGTTTTAATTCAATAAAACTTTATTTAATGCTTTGCAGTTCACATATAATACTCACTGATTTCAGCAACCGGATTTCATCTAGTGCTGTTTCAGTATAATGTTCAGCACTTTTAACTACTTTCATGGCTACAAACTTCTTTCCCCTAAGAAACAAACATAGACAGTTAGGACTAAATGTCCTCCCTTACTTTAGGAAGCTAAGATTTTGATATAATGGGAGGCAGTGACAAAAATACAAATATTGATTTCATGTTTCCTTGCACTCAAATACAGAGATCACTTGTACCCAACAATTAACTGGCCAGATTTAATTTATAGAAAGAAAATATGTTCTTGGGTAATGCCAGTAACTAAACATTTTTTCTAAGTTAAAATCTACTTTCTTCGAGGGACATGGCTACAGAACCTGGCTGGAGAACCTGGAGAACCTGGCTGGAGAACCTAGCAAGAGAACATGGACACAGAACCTGGATGGAGATCCTAGCCAGAACTTCGCTGGAGATCCTGACCAGAACATGGCTAGAGATCCTGGCTAGGCTGCTGATCAACTGAACACTGTCTCTGTGTCATTCCTTCTTTGCCGACTCCGTCCACACCTTTGGGGACCCCTGGACCTGCTGTGGTCGGACCCCAGCAAAAAGGGGGAAAAGTCACAAGATAAAATGAAGATGGATTAAGTTCCACTATCTTCTATACAGATACTTTATGGTTGGCTGATCATTACATTTTTATCGTTAAAATATTATGTTAAAACTGTAATGAAGATCGATAATCCCAGAAGTATGCATTTGGCTTGAAAGACATGGAATTTCATGAAAACAAGGACGTTATGGGTGGAATGGTGTCTCCCAGGAGGCT